TTACACAAAATACAAACAAAAAGAAATCAATGAGTCCTATAGCCTGTGTGCTTCAGTGCAGCCGCTGGCCTGAGGTGCATCCCCTGTCGCCCGGGTACACTATAAGGATCATCCTCATCAAGTCGCCTCTTTATGTAAGGATGCACAACAGCATGATCGCCAGTACAACTGACAGGATTGGTAGAATGGGTCGTCGGTTCGTCAGCAACCTACAAAACAATTACTAAGCTTAGCATATGAAAATGTATATTAGTAATGTACGTGTTAAGTCAAAAACATTTTCTCACCATGGTCTCGTAGGGCTCCTGAGTATAAGCATTTGTGGTGTCCTCATCATCGCATACAGTGGGCTCCGTGATGGGTTGGGACGAAGCCTTAATAAGAAAATTAAAAATTAATTTATGGCAAATCATTAAGGAAAAGAAAACAAATTAAAATTTAACAGTAATACAAACATACCTGCGCCTGTGATAGATCCGCATAAACCGCCGGGGATGAGCCAAAACTCAACCTGCGCCCGCCATCCACATCTTGGGTCAGCCGATCCTCAGCTGCGGTAGATGGGCCTGAAAAGAACTGCTTTACATCTCCGTCGAATGTACCCGTGATCAACAATAGATATGATGGGGTGACCTGCGATGCTGGCAGATCCAGCTGAAGGCTGTACGACGAAATGTTGCTGGAAGGCTCGTCTAGCTGAGGGAAATAACCCGGCTGATCATCTCCAAGATCCTCATCAGGTGCCTCAATGCCCCCTTGCTGGGGACCACCTCCTCGCCGTCCCCCATGACCCCGTGGGGCACCCCTGCCTTGTGGGACAACCCTGCCTCGTGGGGCAGCCCTGGCTCATGCCCGACCCCTGCCTCGTGGGATAGGCCTACCCCGATGGTGTTGCTCTGGCGCCATATACTCAGCCGCGTGATCTAACCTCTCATCCTCCCTGGCTCGTTGCAGTGTCCAAAGAGCCAAATCTACCACCCGCTGGCCATACTCAACGACTGCAGGATTGTCGGCATGCTGCTGCATCTCCTATCCCAACCGGTAGATCATATGATGACCAATAGCCTGCACAACATTTAAAATATTAATTACATGACGCTATATCACATTTATAAGTATGGGTTCCAACAAAAATATACCAGTGCCTCGTGCCTCCCGGCGTATGGTCTAAATCGACCGCCAGCTTCATAAACAGGGTTCCCGATCATCAGTCGGGTGTGACGGAGGTACCATGACGTATACATCTTAATAGTGGCCTCCTGGATTTGTGAAGGTGGTGGCAGAATCAGGTCCTCTCGCTGCTCCCAAATATGGACATGCACCTCTAGCCATGCTACAAATGCGTCGTCCACCCTAGAACGATAATTCTGCTGATAAGGTGTAGCCACCCATGCATGCTCGCTCGGTATAGTCTATGGGTGTCTAACGGGCTGGGTCAACCCATTTTTGGACTGACCCAGACCGGTTAAAATTGAAACCGGCCCGGACCAGTAGGGCTAGGTTAAAGGGGTAGGGGGTTTGGTCCATTCACCTTGGGGCTATCGGTTAACCGGACCGGTCAAACCCGATCAACGATTTTTATTGTGAAACCGGTTAACCGGCCCAGATTGGCCCGACCCATACCGGTATAACGACTACTTTATTTTTTTTTAATAATGGGGCCTTCGAATTTACTCTTTTTTAGTTAATTTACTTGTTGTTAAATGTAAACCTTTCCATTTGTAAGTTTGAATTTTGAAATAAATGTAGCACTTGCAATTTATAAGTGCAATGTTTTCCTATTTCTTTATATTTTTACTTTATATTAATATAACTTACAATAGTTATACAAAAACAAAATACAAAAAAAAATTAAAAATTACGCTAACCCGGCCCGACCCGGCCCCTTGTACCAGTAACCCCTGCGGTTCATTTTTTACCCGGATGAATCTGAACCCGTTAAACCCGGTAAGCCCCAACACGTACGGTTCCAAATTTTGCTTACCCAGCTCGGCCCGGCCCACCCGTTAGACACCCTTAGTATAGTCTGTGGACGATCAAACTAGCGAAGTACCCGCTCTGTGGCATGATTCTCCACAACATCAAGGCACATCAGCGGGACGGAAGTTCTCCAAAGCTGTCGGTTGACCGAGCAATAATCGGGCAGGCCAGCTATCAACTCGTCGTTGTATGGCGTCCAAATGAACTATCAAAGTAAGTTTAGGTACATATTTACCTGTGCGGCCTCCAGCATATCCAACACATCCCTGATAAGGGGGAGATTATGATGAGCATCAATGCCTCGGTAGTTCCCACGCCGGAGAACCCACCTCCTAGCTAAAGGGAGAAACAGAGGTGCTACATCCGAAGGTAACGGTGGTAGAGGTGGCTGCAATGGCAGGAACCGCTCCCAAACCCAAACCTAACATACAAGGTCTGACGTAAAATTTAAGAGTCATTTTGACTATATAGAATTGGAAGTAATGAACAGTGTATTCGAATATGTTGTCACCTGTAGAAGCGGCAGAAAATCACATATGTCGCTCTAGGTGCCCATGCTAGCCCGACACATACTCTTATACAAGTAAGCGAGAACAACAACACCCCAACTGTACTGGGGTAACTCATCTAGCTGCTGAAGATGATGTAGAAATCGCATACTCACTAGATTTCCCCGAAGTGTTCGGGAACAAAACACCCCCAAAAAGAAGGAGCAGTGCCAACCTCGTGTACCGGTGAATATGGAGATCATCTATCTCATCGATGATGTCGGGGTGCAATACCTCCAAATGCTGTCTAATAGTTGTCACAACAATGCGACTGCCCCCTCTAGCTGCATCCTCACCCTGTGGCCTGAAACTAGTAAACTGCTGCAGCAAGTCCAAATACTGGGCACGCGTCATAGATCTGATATACTGAGGCAGTGCAACGGCCAGTCCATCAGCACGCAGCCCATATAAAACCTGAACATCCTGAAGCGTGATGGTGGCCTCACCAATGGGCAGGTGAAAAGTGTGCGTCTCCGGTCACCACCGCTCTATCAACGCCGTGATCAGAGACCAGTCGAGCTGCGGTCGCCCAATCTCAAAAATCCTATAGAAGCCTGTATTAATGAGGCACTCGACTACGCGAGGATGGAAAGATCTCTCCCTCAAAAAGTCCCACACGTCGTCTGGTCTCCCGGCGCGGAGAGTCTGATCCACTAGTTGTCCCTCCCATACGTAGGCGGACCTATGATTGCTATATAACACTAATATCTGATCCGAGGCTGGTCCAGGATGCACAGACGACACGTCCATGTCATCTACTGTAAATTAAACAATATTAATTGTGTGTTTGTGTTATAATAATTAATATTTAATTATTTAACTGGGCACATTATATATCTATGGGTTCCAGACTCGATATTTGAGGCCAAGTAACACCAAGCTATCCTGAATTCTTATGTGTATCAATTTCAATATTTTTACAATTTTGTTTGTGTTATAATAATTAATATTTAATTATTTAACTGGACAGAGTATATCTATGGGTTCCAGGCTCGATATTTGAGGCCCAGTAGCACCAAGCTATCCCGAATTCTTATGTGTGTCAATTTTAATATTTTTAAAATTTTGTTAGTGTTATAATAATTAATAATTAATTATTTAACTGGACACAGTATATATCTATGGGTTCCAGGCTCGATATTTGAGGCCCAGTAGCACCAAGCTATCCTGAATTCTTATGTGTGTCAATTTCAATATTTTTAAAATTTTGTTAGTTTTATAAATTAAATATTTAATTATTTAAGTGGACACAATAAATATCTATGGGTTCTAGGCTGGATATTTGAGGCCCAGTAGCACCAAGCTATCCTGAATTCTTACGTGTGTCAATTTCAATATTTTTAAAATTTTGTTAGTTTTATAAATTAAATAATTAATTTTTAATTGGACAGAGTATATATCTATGAGTTCCACGCTCGATATTTAATTTGACAACATATATTAATTTGTTAGTTCTGTGTGTTTGTTTTATAAATTAAATAATTAATTTTTGTAAAGTGTAATTGGATAGAGTTTGTAGTTAGTAGATACTTAAACTACAGAGACTCTACGCTAAAAGGCTCTATATTTTACTACGCTAAAAGGCTCTATATTTTACTATGTTATAAGACTCTATATTTTACTACGCTAAAAGGACACTTTTCTTTAAGCAAATAAATAATCTAAACTAAATAAAAACAATAGACATATGAGCATAACATTCACGAAATTACATATAAAACAGTAAAAGAAATTTATGAATATTTTTATTAACAATTTATTTCTCAACTTTTAACTTTTTTTAAACACTAATAATTTAATCCGGGTAAAAATAACATATAAATTTAATCGCAAACAAAACACAAATCAACGTGGAAACACGTTCAAGAAAACAAATATGCATAATTATACGAGTTTCGACATAAACTAAATCAGAATACCTCGATTTATGTTTTTAGAAATGTCGGAAATTTGAAATTTTGAGCCCGAAACAANATTTTAAATTGAAGAATGAAAATGCAGTATAATACTGCGCTTTACTAAAATGCAGTATAATACTGCACTTTATTAAAACGCAGTATTATACTACTTTTTTCTTTAACGACTAAATTTTCGTTAAACTAAAATATAGTATAATACTGTATTTTAGTTAGAAAAATAACTTTTTTTTAACTATATAAAGGTATTTTAAGTCCCAAAACTCATTATTTAGGTTTCCTGACTCCCAACAAAATGAGCAGTAGTGAGAAGCGCATCAACAAGTGAAAGTTCAAAGGAAGAACGAACTTAAAAATCGAGAAACCAAAAAGTGTCTTGCCTTGAGGAGAAAAAAAAAACATTACTGTATCGTGACCATTAAAAACACCAATCGACGTGATCGTGTACGTAGATCAGTCTTCAAACCTTGACCGTTGAGTCGTTGACAGTTAACCATTCATCTCCTACTTTCACAGTTTACACTCTCTTCTTCTTATGTTGCCCACACCTTTCCTTTTCTTTCTGGCCCCTTCACTAAGATACGTCCAGAAAACTCACCAAAAAACAACCAAACTCAATTCAACACATTGCTCATATCTTGCACGCAAACCCTTCTTCTTTTTCTTCTTTACTCCATTAAATATAATATTAGTCCCTTCACATGAAAAAATTCATTAGCTCAGCTCAATTTCATCACATTAACCCAATGGCTTCTTCTCTATTATACTCTCCACCACCAACTCCTCAAATTCTTTCACTTTCTTCTTCCTTTCATTCTTCTCTCCCTACTAAAACCCAATTTTTTTATCAAAGTAAAAGAAGAAAAAGAAGGCCAATTTCAACTCCTCTTAGAGTAGCTTCACCCCCAACAACACCTTCCACTAACACCACTAATGATATTGATGAAGTAAATACACAAGATGATGAACAAGATTCATCCTCAAAATTCTCTTGGAGAGATCATTGGTACCCAGTTTCTTTAGTTGAAGATCTTGACCCTAATTCACCTACCCCGTTTCAGCTCCTCAATCGAGACTTAGTTCTCTGGTTTGATAAATCTAACTCTCAGTGGGTTGCTTTTGATGACAAATGCCCTCATCGCCTTGCTCCTTTATCAGTAAATCCAATTAACCCCATTTCTCAATTTTGCTTAAAAATTGAATCTTTTTCAAGATTTTGACATGTGGGTGTTTTATCATGTTGACCCACTTTCTCAAATTTGCTTAAAAATTTGAATCTTTTTCAACATTTTGACATGTGGGTGTTTTGTTTTGCTTAAAAAATGAAACTTTTTCAATATTTTGAAATATGGGTGTTTTATCCTATTGACCCTCTTCTCAATTTTTAGAAATTTTGCTTAAAAATTGAATCTTTTTCAAGATTTTGAAATATGGGTGTTTTATCCTATTGACCCTCTTCTCAATTTTTAGCAATTTTGCCTAAAAATTGTAACTTTTTTCAAGATTTTGAAATGTGGGTGTTTTTTGTTTGGTAGGAAGGGAGAATAGATGAAAATGGGGATTTGCAGTGTTCATATCATGGATGGTCATTTAATGGATGTGGATCTTGTACAAGGATACCTCAGGCTGCATCTGAAGGACCTGAAGCTAAAGCTGTTCAATCTCCAAGGGCATGTGCTACTAGATTTCCTACTATGGTTTCTCAAGGATTACTCTTTGTTTGGCCTGATGAGAATGCTTGGGAGAGAGCTCAAGAAACTAAAGCCCCTATGTAAGTTTCTCACTCCTTATTATAGTTGTTTATTGGGAAAACTATTGTTTATTAATCATGTGGTGTTGGGTTATATTATACTAATAGGTTATCTTTACTATAGTGACTTACTTAAAATATGCTGATTATTTTATTACGTTATCGTTCGATAGTCATCCCGAGTTTTTTAATGTTACATTAAGTAATCTTGATTATACTTTAGTGAATTGTTTTAACATATTCTTACTAGTTTTTTTAATGGGATTCTTTAGGTTGCCTGAAGATTTTGATAAGCCTGAGTTTGCAACAGTGACAATTCAGCGCGATTTGTTTTATGGCTATGATACTCTCATGGAGAATGTCTCTGATCCTTCTCACATCGAGTTTGCGCATCACAAGGTAAATATGCAGCATTTTGATCCCTTCGGCTTCTAAAATAATTAAAAATCCACTTTGGGCCCTAAGGTTTTATTTACTTATTTACTAGTTCATTATCAAGTTGACTAAGGCAGATATTAGCTACTCAAGTTCAGCCTTTTCAAGCTTAGATCAAATTTTATTCTAGTACTTGCAGCTTAGCGATCAGCTTGAGTATTAAACCAGCATGATACATTGTTTAAACTAGTAAGAAACCTCAAGCTGAAGTGGGTTCAATGAATATGCGATAAGGAGCTGAGCACAAACCGGTTACTAACCTTGATTCAGGCCTTCAAATAAAAACCAAAGACTAAGCTCAATCTGTGAATTCTTTTAACTTGTAACTCATTTCCTACTGGATAACCCAATTTTTAATCCGAGTAATAAAATTCAGCTTCCATAAGTAGAACTCTTATTCTTTAATACAGTATGTAAATATAGAAAATTATTGAAACAACCCAGTACTTGACTCTGGCGACCTGTCAAATTGTTGAAGAGCAACAGGATATAAACTACATCTACTCGGTAGAGAACAGAGGAAAGGAAAAGGAAGAAGTATACTGCCACTCCCAAACTATAGACTCCTTCCGTATGGCCATAGTTGTCTGTTTCATTAGACGAAGATTCGAAAAAGAAACGTATCAATTAATTATCAGTTGGAGTCTCTAAGAGATACATTTAAACTAATAGGTGAAATTTACAAAAGTGAGGAAATCTTTTGATGTAGTGCTATGTGATCCTTGAGATGATACTTGTAGTAGATTGAACTTTTAGATGCCACATTTTACATTCAGATAAAGGAACTTAAGTTGGTACTAAAAACATAATGTGGTATATTTTGTTGGGCCGAAACAAGTATATATTTGGAACAAATAAATAACTTGTGACGTCTGAAAACTTGATTAGAATATTGATCATGCAAGACTCAGCAAAGATGAGCATAGTGTCATGACCCACCACATAGGTGCCATTGACATATATTTTTGCCACGTGGAAAGTTTACATAGGAAGGAGACTAGCACATGTGGGAAGGTTCTAGAGAAATATAGAAATTCCCCATGAAAGACCTTAAAACCCTATGGAATTGCTAGGGAAGTCTTTGAAACTTTCTAGCTTTGTAGATAATTCTAGAGAAAGCCCTTTTCTTGTAAATACTAAGGACTTGTACAACAATTAATATTTATACACTAGCCCCTAAGAGACTAGTATAACTAGGAGACCATCCATTTGTAAATCATCAGTAAAACAATCAAGTTTTCTACAATAAAAAGCTTCCTTTCGCAAATTTCTCGTCTTTCTTATCTAACAATTTCTTAGCGATCTTGAGTGTAGTATTTTAGGATGATTTGACATAGCAAGATCGTGAGCGAGTTGTGCAAGATCGTGAGCGAGTTGTGCAAGATCGTGAGCAAATTGTCAAGTACCACACGTGCGCTTAGTTCAAGAAGGACGTGACAGTAGGGACTGGTCAGTTCGGTGAAAAGTTTGTTAGTTACCATAGCCAATCAGTTATGGAAACAGATTAATCAGAGAAGAGTGGGTCAAGAAGAGCATGAATAAGATATACAGGAAAGAGACTTCTTAATCTTCTAGTTCTCCAAAAAAAAAAGGGGGATACCAATGCATATTTTTGGGAGGAATAAATAGTATTACTCCATCTGTTATCTATACTACTAATAAAGTTGTCAACCTTATTAACTATCTTGGTGTTTCTTAAAACTGTGGTCATTCTCTATTTCTTAAGACCAAAATTGCCCTCAAGTTCCTACTGCTAGTTGTTGAAGACATAATTAAATAAATAAAAGTGTGTTCTCTCTAATAACTTAAGCTTTTAGATGAGATGGTCACGTACTTTAACGTGGTATCAGAGTAGGCAGAGGTCCTGGGTTCGAGTCTCACTGCCACCCAACATCAAAAAGAATTTTCACGTGCTTGGCTCATCAAAAAGAATAAAGCCGAGGGGGCGTGTTGAAGACATAATTAAATAAATAAAAGTGTGTTCTCTCTAACAACTTAAGCTTTTAGATAAGATGGTCACATACTTTAACACTAGCTTGACTGGAAATAGCATTAAATTGATCTTTTTGCTATGCTCTACTCCCTATTTTCAAGTCATTATCCTCTCTTTTGTTACTCTTAATTACTAGATTTATTTTTCTACTATAATTATTACTAATTTATATTAGATGAATAGTGACATCCCATTCCCAAACTAGTTGTAGTCTACTATATGAATCCTCTATCCATTCTGCTATTCAATTCATTCCAATACTTACCAATTTGTCTTTTAAAACAAGTTCAGGGTTACCCAAAAACTAAATTCTCTATATATTACACTTATCCTTACAGTTATTTACTTATATGACCAATCAAAATACTTTTATACTAAGAATATGCACACAGGTGTGCCATAGTTTCTAGTTCAAGATTTATCCTTTCCCAGGAAAAAAACGAAAATAGACTTTGGTGTTTTGGTGCTGAGTGGTGAGTTCTCATAAGCTAGGGGTTGTTTGGTATGTCGGCACCATATAAACTTCCTGTTTAACATGTGAAGAATGCGGATTTTTGGGCTTCTAGGACAGTAGCTCGACTCTCAGCTTGGACGGATCATATAAACAGATTTAAGATTGCTCCCTAGAAGGTTTTCTGTTCAAGTTATCTGGTGTGGTATTAAGGTGTAGTCATAGCCTTACTTTCTGTCCAAAGATAAGTAAATCCACACTTCTGGAGCAATTGATGGAAGTATATACTCTCTGGAACCTAGAGTATTAAGTATCACTTTATGACTTCTGTGCTGCTTTTATCAGTTAATGGAAAAAATTTCAATCTTAGCATCTTAAAAAATGAAGTTGACAGGATTAGGACATTCTGGAAACAGAACATCATGCTCTGACTTGGATGTTGTTTCTTATTTGGCTTCAGTACACTTGCTGAAGTAGAAGTTGATATTTATGAGATTCAAGTCTCAAAATCATTGTATGCTTATGCCAATGTAGTAGATATAATGCATGCTATACAGTCCTCACTCCTCAAAAGTACCAAAATAGCAGCTACAGTGTGTTCTGTAAATATATTTCTGTTGCTGTGAAGTATAGCTTTCATCTTCTCCTGTGGTTAAATCACTTTAATAATTAACCTATTAAAGGAGGATTCCAAAGCTTGATGGAGAATGGAGATTGGTCCGGCCCTTCGCTGGACCCTACGCATAGCGGGAGCTTAGTGCACTGGGCTGCCCTTTTGATGGAGAATGGAGATGTAGAATTAAATACCTGAATTGTTCACATATATATGAGACAACAAACTGCAGTGTATGCATATATGCACATCGACTAGAATGCAAATGTATGCATAGATATATCCGCATCAACTAGAGCAATATTGCTGCAGCTTGCTTAGTGTCCAACAAGAAAGTCTCTTAGCTTACTTATTACATTTTACAGGTTACTGGAAGGCGAGATAGAGCCAAGCCCTTGCCATTTAAGATGGAGGCATCTGGACCGTGGGGTTTTGCAGGTGCAAACAATGATAAACCAAAAATTACTGCAAAGTTTGTTGCACCTTGTTACTCCATGAATAAGTAAGTTCATCATCCCAAAAGTAGATCATCTTTCCTGACTGTCAAGGCAGCAAACATGTATTTATCAATAGTGATTAATCATCTTTAGGTTGATAAGCTTGCATCAATCTTTCCCTTTCCCTTGCTTAAAAAAGTTTTGTTATCTGCCAACAAATTGCGACGCTATTAATCAGTAGCCTTATATCCTGTTTAAGACCGGGTTCTGTAAGGTTATTTAATGCTAGTAATTGTTTTGATCATATAGTGTGAAGATTCTTTTTTATAGAAATCATGGGTTCATAGCATTTCCAAACCCGGTGCATATTCGTGGTGTTTGGTGTGCATGTCTTTGTATGAATTACCTGTTCTATGTAAATGTTGGCTGCATTTATTCTGCAACTATTTGCATGCCTGTATAACTAAGATCTCGTTGGAATTTTTTCCAGAATAGAGATTGACACAAAGCTTCCAATCGTCGGTGATCAGAAGTGGGTTATATGGATTTGTTCTTTTAATGTACCAATGGCACCTGGAAAGACCCGATCAATTGTTTGTAGTGCTCGAAACTTCTTCCAGTTTACAGTGCCTGGGCCTGCTTGGTGGCAGGTAATAATGCTTCTATTTTACAAATTTTTCCAATAATTCTACTCTTGTATATGCCCTTGGGAACAAATGAAAGGTGTTCCTATATGTTCCAAAAAAATTCATCACATGGTTGAGGTGGTGACATTTTTACTGTAACTAACAAACCCCCCCAAAACCAAAACATATTGGTGATATACTAGCTCAATATCTTTTTTTTTTATATTTATGTGTAGATTAAAATTCTTTAGCAAAATGTATTTAATTGGTCCATGGATTTCCTATCTCACAATTTGGGAATTCAAATTACTGCAGAAATTAGTTCAACTTGTGTCTCGTTTTCCATGTCATTCACAAAATTTCTGTACTATCAACTCAGTGAAGACCTTAAAAACCTATCAAAGCCATAAGCTTTTATTCCATCGGCTTTAAGGTGGGCACAGAGGTTTTGGATCTACTATAGGCTCCCACCACCTCGGTAGGAAATCGTACGAGATAAATGGCACATGAAGAAGGTGAGCTGGGAGAAAAAGAAAAAAAGTAGCAATGCAAAGTATGGGGAATAACTAGAATGAGACTGATCTAAAATCTGATTCTGAATATTCAAATGGTTTCCTGTAAAAGAATTTGACTTATTAGTCTAGTATGACAAAAAGACAATACCTTATCATCAATACAGTAAAAGCAATAAAGTAAATAAACAGCAACGAGAAAAAACGCAATTAGATCAAGTCTTATCAGTTCCCATACCAGGGTACAAGTCCTGCTTTTATTCAGTGACGTTAGAAATAGTGGAAAGTGAATCATGTGTTTTTGCAAGAACACCAAGTTGACATACGCCTTCTATGGTCTCAACAATACTTGGTGCTGATACTTTGTCCAAGAGAAATGGTGAATGACATAATATTCCTATCTTCTGATTTCAAAGTAGATCCGTGGCTATAGCATTGACGATTTATCATTCAGTGGGGTGTTGGAACGACTGATGATCTGTTCATAGTTCAGCGGGTAATATTTTATCATAATAACTGGCATTTTCATGATGCGTTGACAGGTTTTTCCTAGATGGCAAGAACACTGGACTTCGAATAAGGTGTATGATGGGGATATGATTGTTCTTCAAGGGCAAGAGAAGATCTTTCTTGCAAAGTCAAAGGAGAATTCTACTGATGTCAACAAGGAGTACACAAAACTCACATTTACACCCACTCAAGCTGATCGCTTCGTCTTGGCATTTCGAAATTGGCTTAGACGGCATGGCAATAGTCAACCTGAATGGTTTGGTAACGTAGACCAACCACCATTGCCATCTACAGTCTTATCCAAACGCCAGGCATGGATTCTTGAACTCCAAAACCAACTGAATTCGCTAGAAGGAAGAGAAAGAATCAATTTGCTCTTTGGATATTTTTCTTGTCCATTTCCTTCTTGAGACCTATCTTCATATCTTCGCCCTTGTAATATATGGATTACTTTTACAAATGTTTTTCTTATTCTAATTCTTCATATCGTTATATTACAGATGATGGATAGATTCGAGCAACATACACTCAAGTGTTCATCTTGCAGAAATGCTTACTACACATTCGAGAGATTGCAAAAGATTCTGATTGGCGCCGTAGTGGTGTTCTGCGCAACTGCAGGTATTCCTTCTGATATCAAGCTGCGTGTTATCTTGGCTTCATTTGCAGTTTTAAGTGCCGGATTGGCATACGCCCTCCACGAACTGCAGAAGAATTTTGTATTTGTTGATTATGTACATGCAGAAATTGATTAAAAGTGATAAGAGGGTCCTGCTAATCTCGACACCCCTAAACTTGTTCTTTCTACTATAGGAATTAGAACTGTAGCTGCAGATACAAAATCGAATACTGCAGAGTATATCATTCTTATACATGTATATATCAATGAGATTTGTAGAGATTTATACAGGAAATTTTTGCTCATTCTTCTTAATCACAACATTCCTATTGTCTAGATCAAAGTCTAAAGGGTCGTTTTGGTTGAAGGAATAAGGGGTATCCTGGGATAAAACACCAAGATGACAAAGATGTCATTCTCAACAACCCTTCTCCCAAAGCCTTTTAAGAAAGTCAAAGTTAAAATTGAAAATAAAAGTTTGTCCGAATTTGTCTAGTGTAAACCAAACATATGTTTTATATTTTAATATCATGTTAAATTATGCGATTGTTTAATTTAAAACTTAAAATATTAGAAATGACACTCGAAACATTTAGATTTTATTGAATTTAAATTCATAAAAGAATTCAAACTATAATTTATTACATATTAGTTCAATTGAATATTGTGGGCTAAACATCTCAATCTGAAACTAAGTGATTTTGTAGGGATGTTTAACGTAATTTATCTTTTAGCATCAACGCCCAAGTTTGTGACTTTGTGCCACGTGTCAAATGAACTAAGAGACGTGCGGACGTGCCAAATCCATTAAAAGAGCCAATGAAAGTATGCAACTATCTCATACTAAATGATGTGGCATGCTAAGTTTAATCAAAAGGTCAATAAGAATGTGTCAAAGGTACAAATGACATGTTTTAGTCAATCAAATATAATTTTATCAGTGGTTCAATCTGGTCAGTCATTGATTCAATCACTTCTTTTGGTTCTTCATAAACCAAAAGAATGTTAAACAAGCAGGCGAGATCTAAAAATTAATACTAAGTATTCCTCCATTATAAGCTACAAGCACGGGCGGATGGATGCACTAAGGTTCAAGCGGTGTCACGTGACACCGCTTGGTCATTTTTTTTGCTAATTATATGAATAAAATGATCTGGAAAACGAGATACAAGATAAAGATACTATATAACTGACACCACACGCATCAACCCTTTCTTTGCTTAGTTGGTCAAGCGCCCCAACTCTTTAGGTCAGGTTGAGGTCATTCTTATTTTGAAAATTACGGCACATCCACTTCCGCATAAGTGAAGTTATAAACCTTCAAATTAGGCGTTAGCCAATCCATTATCCTCTTCAATTTGCAACTACCTCTTCCGTAAAGTTTTTTTTTTAAGTCAAATTCTTCCGTAAAGTTATTATGCTACTTTTTCGTCCTTCTCTCTTTTACTTTTTAATTAGTCTTAAGATACGCGCAATGCGCATGTACCTTGTATCAATAAAAATAAGCTTTTTTATAAGTAGCATAAAATATATTCAAAAGACATATTTGCATTATAAATGTAAAATTTATTTAAAAAAGTATGAGCTCCTCAAAATTATAAATGCTAATCATGTTTGAGTTTGGTCCGCTCTAGTCATTCTTCCTTCTGTTCTATTACTTGTTTCATAGTACAAAAACGTTAGGTATAACATTAAATATAATGTATGACTAAAAGGTAATGATGTAGTTCGACTTTCTATGAGCAATTTTAACTTTTCACTTCGATCGTTTTACTTATATAATAGTAAAATAATACATGTAATAAATAGTATAATAGAGTAATAAATAGCTGCATTATAAAATCAAAGAATATAATCAATCAAGATTTGTGGCAAAAAAATCTCATAAATTTTTGGTAGTAAGCCATAAAACTAAGAATATTATGAATCTCAAGTAATACTCTCTATAAAGATACTTAGTAAATTTTTGAAATCTTACTGGTAAGGAAAAGATTTGAGGTTATTAATTAGAGAGAAAGAGTATGCATGAAAGTTTTTTTTTTTTGAAGAAAAGGAAAACGACGAAGCTTGAAGTTTCACCTAAATAGAAACTAAGTTTTTAGAAGAGTTTTAATTGATTTTAATGTCCTATTAGGACATAGTTCAAATAAAAAAAATTTATAACTAAAAATTTTGTTGATTTTAAAGTGATAAATATTAGAAAAATAATTAAGTGATTATTCTTAAATATTATAAAATAATTAAATAAATTTTTAGATATATTAAAGAAATAATTAAATAACTATTTGTCCAATATAACTCTATTTTCTAAGGATATTAGTTGCATTTAGCTAGCTGTATAAAGAAAAAACTAAGGAGTTGTTATTCAATGAAATGAGTGCAAGAAAAAAAAAATTAACTATAATTTATTTAGAATATATTTTGATCCACTATTTTATTCTTATTATTTTAAGTTTGTATTTTTAATCAATTTTACTCGCTTAATGCTATATTATATAACTGATATTCCTCTTTTATTTATTTTGTTCACCGCCAATTTGCTTGATCTTATGGAAATAAATGTATATACCAAGGAGTTTTGTTAACTACAAAATTAATTGTACTTAGATGGGTGCATTTGAAAAATAATTGGATTATGTTTTTTTTGCTAATAATTAATTTAAAGACTTAATTATTTCTTTTTATTATTATAGTAACTCATTAAATTTTTATTGATTCAAATTATTAATATAGCGTTGTAGACAATAAATTGCGTCGAGAAAATAAAATCAAGACCGAAAATATCGCAACAATCGTAGTATTTAATTTCGAATATTTGAGTGTACAATCTCTATGATTCCTCTGATTCTACTTTTCTAGTAAAAATTTAAGGGCCTTTGAGCTTGATCTTGAATTTGAATTTCATTTAACCGTCACGAACACTTTGATTGTTGCCACGAATTGTATCACGAATAAGTAGCCTTGATCTTGAACGCCTTGTATTTGATTTGACTTCGTTCTTGATCTTGAATACTTGAATTGTTCTTCGTTCTTGAGCTTGAATACTTGATTTGTTCTTGAACTTGAACTTGGTTGCTTGAACTCTGAAACTTGTAGATAAATTTGTGGCGTTTGATCCACGAGCTCTCTCTTGCTTCTTGTTATAACTTCTGGTCCCTTTTTTGGGTTATGAAGACCCCTAGTTGTGGAAGGGAGGAGTTGTGATAAGAACAAACTCTTTCCGACCAATCAAATTGAAGTGTGACATGGCCGCATTTGATTGGCCAGAACATGTCACTTGCACACGTGGCGTGATTCATTGGCCTTTTAATGTGACTTGGCATGCCTTGTCATTTTGATATGGGGCATGATCCTATTGGCTCTTCCGCTTGACTTGGCGTGCCACGTCATTTCACGCGTGGCACCAAACTGGGCCTCTAGGAAGATGATCTCTTGGGCCTAATGAAGTGGGCTCATCATTTGTAGCCCAATTAAGTGGGCTAACCCAATAGATTAAGACATATTTATTTAATTCATATATATTGGACTTATATAAGTAATTCAATTATATTAGCCCATAATATTTATTTGGATCAATATATCTTGAATTTTAAAATATAATCCAAATTCTTTATGGATTTAAAATTTATATGCCTACAAATGCCCCCTATTTTAAGATTTATCGTGGTATTTACACAGATTAGACTTGAAGTACGAATTTATTAAATTGCATTCTTCCTCAAGTTAGTCGAATTAAGAGTCTCGCCAATGCATATGGCAATTCATTGAATTATTGCTCCAGAAACACACTTTAACTAGTGAATAAACCAATCTTAGTCAATTGGCTCATTCGTCCATTAACGCCAAAGTCAATTTCTTTGCATTTAAATCCTTTCTCAAGTAGATAATGTATTGAGAATTACAATCCAAGTGTTTGGCCAGTTGCACAATTATTATATTTGTCCACTTTACCAAGAATTATAATACGCAGAATTATCCAAAAGAATTTCCTCTTGCCACTCCATTAAGCATTCAGAGAAGGAAAAGCTTCAGCCGCCGCACAGCCTTTATCCTCAAGCATCGTTAAATCCAACTAGGAGTCAAATTCCTTACCAATTTTAGTTTGGACACACAAGGATTAAGTCATACCGTCTTTATACAACAAATCCCACATCGGACCATGACTTATTAACGCCTCATCTCCAAATCTATATAAACCCCCCGTACTCGCATTTGTTGAGTATTAATTTGTAGTTTTCGCAAGCCAATTGAGTCTAGTTTTATGAACTCGGAAGCATCAACGTGAAGGTAGTTTCTTTTTCTTTTCTTGTGCTTTTCTTCCTTTATTGTCTTTTTTTCTTTTTTGTAAGTCAAGTGAGAAAGATATGCTCTTGTTTAACAAGATGATCTACACATGAAGAAGGCGGTCTTAGGGTGTGAGGGGATGGATACTCATCCCTGTCCAAATATCGAAGAGATCACTCTCAATGTGGCCTGATTGTCGGAGAGATTACTCTCAATGTGCCCCGACTATCGAAGAAATTACTCTCAATGTGGCCCGAATATCGGAGAGATTACTCTCAATGTGCCTCGACTATCGGAGAGATTACTCTCAAAATGACCCGACTATCAGAGAGATTACTCTCAATGTGGCCCAACTATCAGAGAGATTACTCTCAAATAACCCGACTATCGGAGAGATTACTCTCAATGTGGCCCAATATCGGAGAGATTACTTTCAATGTGGCTCGACTATCGGAGAGATTACTCTCAAAATGGCCCGACTATCAGAGAGATTACTCTCAATGTGGCCCAATATCGGAGAGATTACTCTCAAATAACCCGGCTATCGGAGAGATTACTCTCAATGACCCGACTATCAGAGAGATTACTTTCAATGTGGCTCGACTATCGGAGAAATTACTCTCAAAATGGCCCGACTATCGGAGAGATTACTCTCAAAACGACCGGACTATCGGCGAGGCCAACTTAAGGTGCAAAGGGACTCATATGTCTACCTTAAGATTGGAAAGTTATAGTTCCTTTTAAGGACAAACCCACGAAGAGGCTAACTTAAGGTGCAAAGGGACTCATATGTCTACCTTAAGATTGGAAAGTTATAAAGCTTCAACTTGAAGACGACATCGACTTGAACACTTGGAGAACTTTGAAGATTTGGCGGACTTTGCAGACTGCAACTCGAAGATTCAGAGGGATTAAACAATTCAATTTTAAGATCGGCAAATTTGAAGACTGAAACTTGAAGACCGAAAGACTTGAAGACTTCAACTTGAGGGACTTAAATATTTCAACTTTAAGACCGGCGAATTTGAAGA